TTATCTAGTTAGCGTGTGTGAAAGTCGATTTCTTTTTTAATCAGGAAGCTATGGAAACAAACTTAGTTTGTGGTTTAATCTTAACTCCTGGAAGCATTAGTGATAATTAAAAATTATTCTAAAAATTAAAAAAATTTCATGCACATTTTTGATACATTGTCATGAGAGTATTAAGATATCACAGCTAAGTGGCTTCCAATATTTCTAGCACTTGAAGATTTAAAAAATGATGCTTCTCTCTGAATTCAGTATTCCTGTAGTAATGGAGAATCTGGGAATCAAAGTGTGTGTTTCTGGGAAAAAAATATTTCTCCTGGCAGACAGAAGCTTAGCAGCATGAAGTCAGTGTGTGTTCAAGCCACAGTCAGAGCTGGCTGAAAAATGTAAACATCAATAAGAAATGATGCCTGTTGTTATTATCAAACATCTGTTGAGGGCCTATTAGGTGTTATTCAGTGATAGAGAACAGCCTGATTTGTATTCATCACTGCAATTAAATAAATTAAATAAAAAAGTGAAAAAAAAATCTCATCATTATTGGAAAGAGGAAAAAAAAATGTTCCATGTTTAACCATATCATATGTATTGGTTTTGAGATGTCAGGAGCCAAACAAAAAGATGGCTGGATGCACCATTAGAGTGTTTGGTTACCAAGAAACTAAGATTTGCTGCTGTCACTTAGAGTCATACAATTTATAGTAGAACAATGATCATTGAATAGATTAGCGAAGTCCTGGAGGTCCCTGAGACCCTTTTAGAGAATCTGCAGAATCCTCCCTTTTCCAATTAAATATCTGTAAGAAGCCATTTTTTTCCCACATATTTAAATCAAAGCAACATAGCACAACAGGTTCAGGAAAAGTAGATGTAAGGATCCAGATGTCTTTTATTTAGCAAAAATTGCAGAGGTTTGCAAACATTCAAAACAATAGAACTCTTCTAAATAATTGTTTTTGTTTTAGAAAATAGTTACTTGTTTAAATAAAACTGTATTATTTATGTTAACATATAATTGTTTTATTTTACTTAATTAAATAGAACTTTAAAAAACGTCTGTTTGTATTTCTAATATTGTGAAAAAATACAATTCATATGAAAAAAAGCTTTTTTTTTTTTTTTTTGAGACAGTTTCGCTCTTGTTACCCAGGCTGGGGTGCAATGGCACGATCTCGGCTCACCGCAACCTCCGCCTCCTGGGTTCAGGCAATTCTCCTGCCTCAGCCTCCTGAGTAGCTGGGATTACAGGCACGTGCCACCATGCCCAGCTAATTTTTTGTATGTTTAGTAGAGACAGGGTTTCACCATGTTGACCAGGATGGTCTCGATCTCCTGACCTCATGATCCACCCGCCTCAGCCTCCCAAAGTGCTGGGATTACAGGCGTGAGCCACCGCGCCCGGCAAAAAAGCTTTTTGGAGTTCTCATTTATGTAGAAGAGTGAAAGGATATCGCCTGTAAGAATGATTTTTTTTCTTTTTTTTTTTTGAATGGAAGTCCTGCTCTGTCCCCCAGGCTGGAGCCAGTGGCATATCTTGGCTCACTGCAACCTCCACCTCCCAGGTTCAAGTAATTCTCCTGACTCAGCCTCCCGAGTAGCTGAGACTACAGACATGCACCACCATTACTGGCTAATTTTTGTATTTTTAGTAAAGACGGGGTTTTACCATATTGGCCAGGCTGGTCTCGAACTCCTGACCTCATGATCCGCCCACCTCAGTCTCCCAAAGTGCTGGGATTACAGGTGTGAGCCACTGCGCCCTGCCCTTGAATTATTTGTATAAAAAAAGAGAAAAGATAACAAATGATATCAAGGACTTAAGAAAAGAGGACCGGGGCCGGGCGCGGTGGCTCAAGCCTGTAATCCCATCACTTTGGGAGGCCGAGGCGGGTGGATCATGAGGTCAAGAGATCAAGACCATCCTGGTCAACATGGTGAAACCCTGTCTCTACTAAAAATACAAAACATTAGCTGGGCATGGTGGCGCGTGCCTGTAATCCCAGCTACTCAGGAGGCTGAGGCAGGAGAATTGCCTGAACCCAGGAGGTGGAGGTTGTGGTGAGCCGAGATCGCGCCATTGCACTCCAGCCTGGGTAACAAGAGCGAAACTCCGTCTCAAAAAAAATAAAAATAAAAATAAAAATTAAAAAAAAATAAAAGAGGACCCTTGTACACCATTGGTGGGAATGTAAATTAGCATAGCTATTATGAAAACTAGTATAGGGGCTTTTCAAAAAGCTAAAAATAGGGCTATTATATGATCTAGCAATTCCACTTCTGGATATACATCCAAAGGAAAGACAATCAGTACACTGAAGAGATATCGGCTCTCCTGTGTTCATCATAGCATTATTCACAATAGCCAAGACATAGAATCAACATATATTCATCAACTGATGAACGCATAAAAAATCAAGATATTCCTCAATGGATGTATGCAAAAAGAAAACATGGTACATGTACAAGATGGAATACTTATTGAGTCTTAAGAAATTGTATCATTTTCAACTAGCATGGAACCTGGAGGACATTATGTTTAGTGAAATAAGTTGGCACCAAAAGACAAAGACTGCATGATTTCATCTATACGTGGAATGGGAAAAGAGAAAAAAGAAAAAAAATGAACTCATGGAAGCATGGTGTAGAATGGTGGTTACGGAGACTGGGATAGAAAGATGATTGAAATGGGGAGCTGTTGGTTAAAAGGTAGAAAATTTTCAGGTAGACAGAAGAAATGCTCTTTGGAGATCTATTGTACATCATGGGCTATAATTAATAATAATATATAGCATACTTAAACATTGCTAAGAGAATAGAATTTGAATATTCTCCTGTCAAAATGGTAAGTATGTGAAGTGACAGATCTGTTAATTGGCTAGATTTCATCATTTCACGGTGTATACACACATCAGACAATTAAAAAATAAATGGCCAATCTGGGTAAGGAATGTATCTCTTTGTACTATTTGTACGAATTTTCTGTCTGAAATCATTTCAAAATAAAATGGAATAAAAATAAATTAATATTTTTGGATCATTAAAAAAGAGAGTATAAGGATTCTTGAGATTAAAATAAAAATAAAATGGAAGAAAGGATATCTTTGCTGAATAATTTTTAAAAAGAGTTTAAAGGGTCTTGAGATTAAAGTTTTAAAAGTCTGAGCTCCTGACCTTAGGTGATCTGCCCGCCTCGGCCTCCTGTAATCTCAACTACTTGGGAGGCTGAGGCAGGAGAATTGCTTGAACCCAGGAGGTGGAGATTGCAGTGAGCCGAGGTCGTGCCACGGCACTCCAGCCTGGGTGATACAGCAAGACTGCATCTCGGGGGAAAATGAAAAAATGTTTGAGACCTGGTCCTGCTCCATTCACAGAAATGGAGATAGCACCAGGTAAAAATGAAGTAAAAGTTGTATGTTCGGTCTTGCAAAACAACAGGAAGCCTGAGAAAGGAGAAGTTATTCAGAATGCGGTGTATCTTGGGGAAGAGGTTTGTTCCAGCGTTCCTCTCTGCAATAGGACTTAATTCACTCTCCAAATCCGTTTTTAGACGTTCGTGTCTTAGCTCTCCTCTGTTATGACTTTAACTGCTCCTTCGGCTCTGGGTACAGACACCATAAAATTTATTGTTTACCCAATAACACTTCTGAGAACAAAAGATGGTATTATTAAAAATTACAGGACAATAGCCTTGCCTGGCTGCCATCTTTCTTATCCTGTCAAGTAAGTACCCCCAAGAGTGGAATTGTTGAGTCAAAGGACATGAAAGCTGTTGTAGATGCTGCCCATTCATGATTAAATTAGAAATAGGAACACCAGTGATTATATTAGCCACGAGGTGATCAGGTTTCAACAGTGCATTTTTGTGTTTGATCTCCAACACATTTTGCGTTTTCAAGTTGAGTTCTGAAATTAGAGACAAGACCAGATGGCAGTAGATTCACTCTAATTCAGAGAGCTATTAAGAAAGTTTGATTTTTTTCTTTTTTTGCTATAAAATTTTAATTGTACTTTAATGTCATCATCATAAACGGAAGGGTGGGTTGATGAGTTTACTCAGAATAGGGTGTTACAACCTTTAGGGCGGAGCCTCTGACTCTGATTGGTTGGAGAATGTTTTCCAGGCAGTATAAATAGTCCTGCTTCTCTGTGCTGCAACTCAGAAAGGAGCAGATGTCTGTAGTGGCTGCAGGCTTCCGATCTTCAAGACTTCCTGGCAGTCTCCAAGTCAAGGTAACTTGTGCCTTCTGTTTAAGCTGTTTCCAATGTCCTATTCTGCGTTTGGCTACAAACTGTTTCTTTTCCCTAATGCCTTTAACTATTGTATTTTAGAGGAAGAAGAGCTGGTTTTGTCCTGTGTCCTGGGACTTTCTTCACCTTCAAGTCTAACACTGCATTTTACATTTTTATGTATGAACCTTAGGTCACTCTTTGCATGAACTTGTATTACCATGATTCTCCAGCAATTTAGTGTCACTTTTATACATAAACTACAGAACTTGTTATTTAATTTTTGTTATTCATTAATTTTTTTCTTTTTTTTAAAAAATATATATTTTATTGCATTTTAAGTTTTGGGGTATGTGTGAAGAACATGCAAGATTGTTGCATAGGTACACACATGGCAATGTGGTTTGCTGCCTTCCTCCCCTTCACCTATATCTGGCATTTCTCCCCATGTTGTCCCTCCCCAACTCCCCACCCCCTGTTGTCCCTCCCCTAGTTCCCCACTTCAGATCCCAGTGTGTGATGCTCCCCTCCCTGTGTCCATGTGTGCTCATTGTTCAACACACGCCTATGAGTGAGAACATGTGGTGTTTGATTTTCTCTTCTTGTGTCAGTTTGCTGAGAATGATGGTTTTCAGGTTCACCCATGTCCCTACAAAGGACACAAACTCATTGTTTTTTATGGCTGCATAGTTAATTAATTTATTAAATAATATAATTTATTATTTATGCCTATAACTTATTTATTAATTTATATTATTTGATTTTGAATTTAGACTATTGAAGAGTGGATTGTATACTGAGGGCTCCCAAGTGCTTCCAGAAGCCAATAAAAGATCATTCCAGTTTACTTCACGGCTAAGGAGTTAGCCCTCAAGGACCATGGCCCAAAAACTGCAAGCAGAGTTGACCTGTCCAATTTGTCTGGATTTTTTCTATGCTCCCGTTTCTCTCTCTTGTGCACACCTTTTCTGCTTTGACTGCATTGAGAATTGGATGCTAGAAACGGATGATTTGAAAGTGATGTGCCCCTTGTGTCGAGTAATAGTGGAGGCACCTTTTTTGGAAGAATGGCAAGTGAGAACCATATCACTTATCACCAAGCAGCATGATTCCATATTTGAGAAAACTCTGCATGTGAGGAAGGAGCTCCAGCATTACTGGGAGGATGTGACCCTGGATGCAGCCACTGCCAGCTCCCACCTTGTCTTCTCCAATGATCTGAGAAGTGCTCAGTGTGGGACGATCCACCACGACCTGACAAAAGATTCCAGGCTGACCTGTGTCCTGGGTACTCCCTGCTTCCTCTCCGGCCAACATTACTGGGAAGTTAAAGTGGGAGATGTGAAGTCGTGGTCCCTTGGCATCTGCAAGGAGTCGGCTGACAGAAAGAGCAGTGATTTATCCCCTGAGCATGGCTTCTGGATTATTAGCAAGGAGGCAGGAGCAATCCATGCTAATGCCAACCTGGAGAGAATTCCTGTAAGCCCTGGCCTTCACTGTGTGGGAATTTTCCTGGATGTTGACTTGGAAGAAATCCAGTTTTTTGATGTGCAAAATAATGCCCACATCTATACGCATGACTCTGTCTCCTCTTCGGAGCCTTTGCGTCCATTCTTCTATCTTGAGCTGCCGAGAGAAGGGGCGAGTGGCGCTGTCTTGACCATCTGTCCCCTGAGAAAATCAGCCCGTCCTAGAAGCTTGTGAAGAGGTGAACCTGAGTAGTCCAGGCAATCCTAAACAAAAAGAACAAAGCTGGAGACATCACAATACCCAACTTCATGCTACACTACAAGGCTACAGTAGTACACTTTGTATCCGTACCAAAACAGCATGGTACCGGTACAAAAACAGACACATAGACCAACGGAACAGATGAGAGAACCCAGAAACAAGACCACACAGCCACAACTGTTTCATCTTTGACAAACCTGACAAAATCAAGCAGCGGAGAAAGCAGCCTGGGAGAACAGTGAACTGGAATGAGCCTGCACCACCGAAGGCTACAAGGATCCCTGAGGGCTACATACAGAGCCACTCTGACAGCCCTGGGATGCTTACCTCCATCTGCATTAATGCGATAAAGAAACCTCATAAGGCTGCTTTATGTATAACAAACCTGTGCATGTACCCCTGAACTTAATTAAAAGTTAAAAAAGTATCCTGTATCTCAGCGAAAATAAATGCTAAATATTTGAGATGATGAATATATTAGCCTGATTTGATCATTCCGCAGTGCATACATGTACCAGAACATCACACAGTACCCTACAAATATATACATTTATTATTTGTCAGTTAAAAACAAAACTTAAAAAAGGAATAAGCCTTTCCATTTTAAGCCACTGTTATATTTTTTGTATTCTGCTTACCTTTGAACTTATTCCTAACTCCTGTTGTATTGTACCAAGATTCCTCGAAGGCCTGTTGGGCAGCCTTAAAAATGCTTTTTATTTTGCGTTGTCCTCAGCTCTGGCCATTAGAACTTTGGTGAGTGTCTTCCAAGTGTCTACAGTTTTTCCTTGGCTTCCTTCTCCTTCCTTTCTATGACCAGCTTCAGTAAACGAAAGAGTAGAAATAAAATGTGCCTCTGTTGTATTTTTTTAATGGAAAATTTTCAACATACAAAAACAGAGACTAATGTAATGAATTCACATGTACCTATCAGCTTCAATAATAGCAACAATAGCCAGCTCCCTGCCCCCAGATTATTTAAGATCAAATCTTACACATCATATCACTTCATTCAGAAATTCTTGTGACTATCTTTAAATGAAATGTATTTAGGAAAATGTAATTATGATGCCATTATCATACATAAAAATGAATAACTCGTTAATATAATCAAGTATCCAATCAACATTCACAATCTTGTCTAATTCAGCTGTGAGGGTTTTAATTTAAGCAGTTCCAGCTTTTCTGAATTGGTCTGAGGAGCGTTTGCTTACATTTGACTCTCTGTGTTTTCTGCATTAAGATTTCCAACCTCAAAATAGGCAGGCCCTTTTTCTTCCAGTTTTCTTTTCAGTACGCAAGAAACCAACTGGGGCTCGCCTCACTTCCTCCTCATCCCCGTCATTAAACCACCCTAACATCTGCCTGGGGCTCCTGGGCATCCCTGCCACAGTCACCCAGGTATAGTTTGCTTTAAGGGCACCAATGATCTTAAACTTCAACTTTCAGATTTGCATCCAGGTGAAAATGTGACAAATTCACATTCACAGGTATCAGGTATTCGTCCCATTCTGAGACATGTTACTTAAGCAACATCTCAGTTCTAAGGCCTCCTCTCCTGCTTCTGGAGTAGCATTGCCTGAAGATTGTTTTCCTCAGTAATAAGGGAGTAACCTCCGGGATTAGCGGCAAGATCCACTCTTTCCTGAACCTGCGGGGTCTTAGTGTGGGCAGATTAGCCGCGGTAAGTGTTCTCCCTCAGCAAGTGAAGACATTCCTTTTTAAGAAATTGCATTAGGGAGCACAGGTTTGTGGATGACCTTCCAAATCAATAGCAAAGTGAAAATTAATCTATATTTCTTTCTAAGAGAATTATTTAAGTGTCAAAGACTAAGGAAATCCTTTGGAAAAAGTGAAACAGCATGCAAAAAGCATCCTGTTTACGGTTTTGCCACTAAAGTTAACCATAAATTAGACTGGAGGTTTTATCCAATTATGTTTGAAAAATTACTTGATTTGGTCTTTGTTCAGTTGAAGGAGTTGTGCTCAGTTGCAATGATCATCTAACCTTTGTTATAGCTAATATAAAATTAAACTAATTTTAATTAGTCTGTGTTTAAGATGACATTTCAAACAACATTTTTATCATTCTTCAATGAAAAAGTTCTCTCTCTTTAAACCTTATTTTTCATAAATATTTATAATCATTCATGTGCTATATGCATATTTTGGGATTTTTCTTGTGCTTCAGACTTTTTAAATCAGCTAATAAATGCATGGGGTCCAATATTTAAAATGCTACATAGTGCAACTGTTTCCTGATACTCCCCATTTATTCATTCTCCCTCAAAATGACCCCTGTTACCAATTCCTTGAGGATTCTTCCAGAGATATTCTATATGTATTTGTATGTATTTCACCTATATATAAATTTAGTACTGCATGTGCATTATATTGCACTTTTTTTTTTTTTTACTTGAGAATATTAAGAAGATTGACTTCAGTCTTTTTTCAGGACTCAGATAATAAAGACTTTTTGTATTACTAGTCAATTTTGTGCAACAATTCTCAATCAGATTTATAAGCATAAATTTTCCCGTTTTTCCAGGAAGTCATTAACACCTCTCACTTCAAAATGCATGACATCATAGCTGCCATCCAAGGACTTCTAGAAGACCTAATTACTACAAAATATCAGTAAATTCAGATTGACTTCAAACCCTGTCTCTCTCAAAAAAGAAATAATTTCATTTTTCAAGCACTGTTATTGGATATAGCAAAAATTTTGTTTTGTTTTGTCTTGAGACAGATCTTTCTCACTCTTGCCCAGGCTGGAGTGCAGTCCCGTGATCTTGGCTCACTGCAACCTCGCCTCCCAGGTTCAAGAAATTCTCTTGCCTCAGCCTCCTCAGTAGCTGGGATTACAGGCACATGCCACCATATGAGGCTAATTTCCACATTTTTGTAGAAATAGGGTTTTGCCATGTTGGCCAGGCTGGTCTCGAACTCCTGACCTCAAGTGATCCACCCACCTGGGGCTCCCAAAGTGCTGGGTTTACTGGTATGAGCCACTGTGCCCAGCCTACAGGTTATACCTCCTTAATGTTACAAATTAATGAAGATTAAGTAAATAAACCTCAGCAATGACTACTACATATTTTTAAACAGATCTACCAACTTTTACTAGCATGACACTGATTTATAAGCTAGTAATAAAGCCAGCTAATGAAAATGGGAGAGAAAATGATCATTACTTGGAGAACATGAGTTCCTACACTGAAATCCTTGGAGTCAAAAGAGTTCTCTCAGAGGTAACAACATTTCTGAACAATATTGTTACAGGCTGCTGATTCATTCCTTCAAGACAGACAACGTTCCTTCAGGGTGGGGTGAGTTTGTAAGTTGCAAATCTTGGTACAGACAGCATCTATGATTTCCATCATGTGGAGAAGGGTGATATCAAGGGAGAAAAAAGTCAGCATTTTGTGAGAGGCTCTGGTGGTGGGAGACTAACCTGATGATTTCACATCCCAGGTTCTAAAAGGCCTGGGCCCAGCAGCGTCCTGGCTTCCTTTGTTCTTTGGCCCTACTCTGAGATACTGTAATGTCCCTTCCTCTAAACTCCACTTTTTGTTTGAGTCAGTCCAGTAAGGGGCTTCTTTCATTTCAGTCAAAATCAGCTTATTAAAGTCATCAATTTATTCTTACTGAATCTATAAAGGAAAAGCCTCTAACTTCCTCCCTTGCCCCCATACTCTCCTTGCAGAAACATTAATGCTTTGCACAAGGACCAATAGGGCTCTTCTTATAATAAACTCAATAAAAACTATGTATTTTCCTAAGTTTTCTGGAATGATGTATTTAAATGTTATATAAAGTGACATTGATTTGCGGTGATAAATGTAATCAACACAGCTGGGGGACAACACTCTGGTGTTAAACCAAGCGATCTGATTTAAAAAACACTGATCTCTAACAAGGCAGATAATCCCATTAAAAACAGGCAAGGGATATGAATAGACATTTCTCAAAAGAAGACAAACAAGGCCAGAAACGGTGGTGGCTTATGCCTGTAATTCCAGAACTTTTGGAATCTGAGGCAGAAGGATGGCTTAAGCCCAGGAGTTCAAGACCAGCCTGGGCAAATAGACGGACCCTGTCTCTACCAAAAGTTAAACAAAAAAGTTAGCTGTGTGTAATGGTGAATGCCTGTAGTTCCAGCTACTTGGGAGGCTGAGGCAGGAGGACTGCTTGAGCCTCAGAGGTTGAGGCTGCAGTGGGCCATGATGGTGCCACTGTACTCCAGCCTGAGCAACAGAGTGAGATCCTGTCACACAAAAAATAAATAAATAAAGAGAGAGCAGACATGACAAATGACCAAGAGGTACATGAAAAAATGCTCAGCATCACTAATCATCAGGGAAATGCAAATTAAAATTACAATGAGATATTGTCTCACCCCAGTTAGAATGCCTATTATTAAAAAGACAAAAAATAAAATGCAGGCAATATGCAGAGAAAAGAGAACTCTTCTACATTGTTGGCACAAAAGTAAATTAGTGTAATCGTTATGAATAACTGTATAGAGATTTCTCAAAAATCTAAACATAGAACTACCATACTAGTCAGCAATCTCATTACTAGGTATCTAGCAGAAAGAAATCAGTATATCAAAGGGATGGCTGCAGTTGCATATTTACTGTAGACCTATTCAAAATAGTAAAAACATGAAATCAACCTGAATGTCCATCAATGAATGAATGGGTAAAGAAAATGTGAAAATGTGGCACATGTACACAATGAAATATTGTTTGACCATAAAAAGAATGAAATCAAGGCTGGGTGTGGTGGCTTATGCCTGTAATCCCAGCACTTTGGGAGGCCAAGGTGGGTGGATTATGAGGTCAGGAGTTCAAGAGCAGCCTGGCCAACATGGTGAAACCCCATCTTTACTTAAAAAAAAAAAATACAAAAAATTAGCCAGTGTGGTGGTGGGTCCCTATAATTCCAGCTACTCAGGAGATTGAGGAAGGAGAATTGC